ACAATGAATGGCGCTCATTTTATGGATTCTCTAATGCAACGTCAAGTGGATCAGCTAAATCGCCTGGTGGTTCATCACCAACATCTCCAACATCTTCAACGTCTGAAGGATCACCTTTCACAACGTTTGGTGGAAATTGGTCACAAGGTACACAAGGATTTACAAATTTCGGTATTTTAACTAATTTTTCAATTAATTAAATGATTAAAAGAAGTTAATTTATTAATATCCCGGTTGTTTTTCTTTATATATTTTTTATTTTAGTTAAAATATGAGTTTGTTGGGTAAATGGATTGCGGATATGGATTTGAGTGGGTGCATGTGTAGGGTTACTGAGCAGGGATCTCCGAAAGTAAAAAAAATTTCAGCCGCATCCACAGTTTTACCCTCAATATCCGCAGCCCTAATCCGCAGTTTGCAGGTCAAAACGCAATTTGCAGTCCGAAATTTCAGCTTATACAGAGTAAAAATAAATTAATTTAAAAATATTTAAAGATTAGTAGTCATTCGCTTCAAAGTTTCTTTTATCATTTTAACAGGGATGCAATGGTTTGTGAAAAGAGTCGGGTCGGATTTCAAAATTGACGGTCTTTTAGAAATAAAGTAATTGTTAAGCATAGCAAACATGTAGTAGGCATGGAGAGATGCCGACAATCAATCCTAATCCTTCAAATTTTTGTACTCGGTTTAGGGACTAGATTCTTTCTAGGATTTTCCTATTTTTAATATTTAATTTAAAATTAAGGAACGTCGACACATGAAAATTTCAATTTTAATTTTGGACCTAATTTTTTTTCAAATTTTGGAAATTTTTTCGGAGGAGCAAGCAACTTTTCTGGATTTAATTATTCAGGAGGAAGTTCAAGTGGATGTTTTTCAGGATGCATAAATTCGAATGTCAATTATCTAAAAATTTTTGTTTTCTCTAACAAAATGTTGGTGCAAAACGAAAATGAAGTTTACGAAACTACTTCTTTAATTATAAATGGGAATATAAATAAATTCACAATTTATGGGAATAATATTGAATATGTTAAAAAATTTTATCAAAAAATGATAATTGGAAAATCGGTAAAAATCAAAATAAATGGGTCATTTAAAGATATTACTCCAATAAAAACTGCTTATTCGTTTTCTGAGGAATTTAAAAAATTAAAACCAAATGGAAATATTAGTGTTATAAATGGCAATATAAAAACTCTTGAGGTGAGCTTTTATAAAAAGAATACGATGTTCTTTTATTACCGCAGGAGGCGAAAATTTTGTGAATTTTGAAAGAAAAGGGGCCAGATAAGCGAAAATTTTGTGAATTTTAGACGGCCAATGGGCAAGATTTATTCAATTTATTGTACGTGAGCTTGCGTAAAATTGCGTGAAAAAGGCGCAATCCGCAGCCCGCAATTTTAATTTTAAAATCCGCAGCCATAATCTGCAGTTGCATCCATCCCTGATAGGAACATTCAATGTCTGGGCAATTCACTCACTGACCATGATTTAACCACTGAAAACCTGATCATGCGTAGCCACAATTCAATTCGAATGCTCATTTATCAAACAGCGTTTATAAATTTATATTAGACTTCTTACTCGTTCTAGTAAACCGATCTACGTGAAATAATAAAAGTACACGAGTAATATAAAAAAAGGCACGCTCCCATTAGATAATTTTAGAGAAAGGGCCATTTTATTTTTTTTAATTAGTAAAACTTTTAGATGCACGTTGAAGATGTTCATGGAAGTAATTCAATTTTAATTAATGGTAATTCTAAAACAACCAAAATTTTTGGTGATTAAACGCTAATGGAGAACTTTGAATTTATGAAAATGATTGGATAAAAGAAAAAATTTTTAATTATATAAGAAATTAATTTTTAAAAAATTAAAATTAGAAAAAAGATAATTTAAACAAAATTTGTTTTTAAAATAATTTTTAAATTCTTTTAACGTTTTATAAATAATTCTTTTAAATTCTTGTTCGTGATAACGATACTAAATTTCTAATATTATTTTTTGGCATTTTAAATTCACAAAAAATTTTCCTACTATAGCTTTACAAAATTCTTAGAAAAATTTTGCCTCAAGTGGGATATATGTTGATTTTGAAGAATTAGTGTTGAGGAATTAATGGGGATAATTTTGACCAAATAAATAAGGAATTAAGTTGATATAAGATTAAAAGAGTTATAGTAAAGCAGCTGAGCTATAGCTATTTCTCTCCTTTAGCTAGTGCAAAAGGTTAATCGGCGGCTCGGAGCGAACCAGAATCTTCAGTAGACTTGACTGATGTGTTAGCCATTACACCACGCCGCCTACTGCATAGACTTAGGAAATTAATAGCTATACATATGCTTTACATTATTGAGGGATTAAGAAGATATGTAAGAGAAATTGAAGGATTATCAAGTATATGGAGGAATTAAAAATCTCTGAAGAGAATATCGAGTATTCTGGTAGGAAGGATCAAATTCCCTTTATTTCCTCGAAATTACGAAATTTCTTTTGTAAAGAAATTTACAAAAGAAATAAAATTCCCTTTGTAAAGAAATTAGCGGTTAAATTCTTTGATCTTTTTTTAAAAATTCTTTAGCCTCTCTTTTTATTTTATGATTTTATATCTTTTATTATATGTATTTGTTTTGCTTTTGTCAATATTTGTATAAAAAATACCCTTTTATTGACTAAAAATTTTTTAAATAAAAATATGCTATTCCAAGCTTTTATTCTAAGCCTTTTTCTGATCATTTTTAAACTTTAAGCGTTTGTTTGATCAAAGTATGCAGTTTCATTATTAATATTTTTAAATAAAAATTTAGGACCTTTGAATAAAAACATTAAAAATAAAAATTTGTTAACATTTTTATTAAGAGAGAGGTGTCATCATCCTTTAACCTACGTGTATTTTCTTTTACTTTATAAACTTATTCAAGAATAAAATTTTATTCATTTCAAAAAAATCAAACGGAATTCCATAGTATGTATTGTAAAGCATATAACTATTTAATTCCTAAGGCTGTGCAGTAGCCTGCGTAGTGTAATGGCTAACACATCAATCCGGTCTACTGAAGCCAAACCGGTCTACTGAAACGGTCTATCAAACCGGCTCCCAGCTGCACTAGCTAAAGGAGAGAAATAACTATAGCCCAGCTGCTTTACTGAAATGCCAAACTTGTATTTCCTATCTCCGCAAAAGTCATTCTGAAAAAGACATTTTTCACTATATTCTGTAAGGATGATTCACCCAGCAGCATTTAAAACGCTTAGGCGGGGGTTAAACGATCTAAAAAGGAAAAAGAGAAAGCATTAGTCGATGCCCCGGTAGCTCAGAGGTAGAGCTCATGCATATAGTGAGCGAAAGCGCCTAGCAACAACTGTGGTCGCAGGTTCGAATCCTGCCCGGTGGCTAAACCTTTGCAAACTCTTTCTATTCTGATCATTTCTTCCATTCTTTTTCAGTACCAAATAATTCTTTTGCTTTATTGCAAAGAATAATTTTCTGACATGAAAACTGTGAGCTAGATATTTGCAGAAGTGCTTATAAATATCCAAGTATTAGACTAGTTGGAGGGAGACTTTTGACTAACCGCTCAATTAGATATAACTTATTTTAAGCTAAGATTGTTCCATATCCAAGAGTGTAAACTTTGCATATCTTTTTAAAAATAATTTTTAGTCAAAAATGCAAAACAAAATTATTTTTTTCATTTTAACAATTTATTTTATGTATAATACACAAATTGAAATAAAAGCTCACTCTTATGTCCAACCAGCTTCTTCACCATGTCAGCAAGCTAAAGCGGTCTTTAAAAATAAAAATTCCCATTTTCAAAAATTATTTTCAGTTTGCTTTTTTCAATCCTGGCAAATGCAGCATTGATCAGCGTAATTTTTATATTAATGTTATAATTTTATGGAAAATTAGCCCTTAAACACCTTCAAAGCTTTTAAGCGCTAATCCATGTATTAACTAAAAAATAAAGTAAAACTTCGCCCTAATCACTCAAACATTGAGCAAGAAACGCAAGGCGTTATATCCCAGGGACAAGTCCGATTCCTCTTCCATATTTAAGCTTTTGCACATTATGAATTATAGTCACCATCACTAGCTGATTGTTTTCATTTTTGCTTTAATTGCTATTTCTAATATGTAGTTTAACTTTTATCCAAAACTTTTTAAATTTAGAAAAACTATTATACAAATGTTGCAAAAACGATGTCCCAGATTGTAGCTGTATTAACGTATATATAACTTTTTCATAAATTAATAGTTAAGATTATTCTTAAAAATTTATTTAAGCAATCATTCAATGGAAAAGATAACTGTGCACCAACGGTTAAAGACTTGCTTAAATGCAATTAAATAACACTGGAAGTTTTGAAATACTAGTGGCATTATTGTAGAGATAATACATTAAAAAGGATTAATTACTAATTAATTAATTAAAAACATTTTTGTTGATGTTTTTTGATGATTTTTTATTTATTTTGAATTCTAATTTTATATAAAGATACTATTCCCTTTTTCATACGAATACTCTTACAGAAATATAACCAAGTCCAGTTTTTCTAAAAGTTTATTATTTTCGGATTAAGCTTGGCGATCCTGTTATGTATCGACTTGCGGCGTGTCCGATACTAACAGAAAGACTAACTAACAAGGTTTATCACAAGGTTACAATAGAATAGAATAAGCGAGACTATGCGCTGGAGCAGATTATAGCTTTGACTACGGAATAAGACTGACTAACTGGCGACTCCCCGACTAGAAAAAGCTTCGCCTTTTATGCTAAGCACAGATCCGAATATACCCTAACAGATTCGAATATTAAAAAAATTTTTAAGTAATAAGTACATCAAGGATTCTGCCGTCATTATTGTAAATTTTCAAACGAAACGATCTTTTTCGCGCATCTCTGGTACATATTCCAAAAAATCGGGAATTTACAGTTGGGGATGAGAATCCCAATCCCACTACTTAAAATCTTCTTAAAAATAATTTAGTTTTATTTATTATAAATATTTATTTTGTAAAAATTTTTCATCAAAAAATGAATTTTTTAATAGTTTCGAACGATTATTGGGGAAGTATTTCCACATCTGCCAAAAATTCCGAAGCCTGCACCAATCGGAATGGGCACAAAAACAAGTGGCCAGTAAATACCAGAAAATAGAACGAGAATGATTGTGATGATTGAAACGACAAAACCTATAAAGTTTAAGTTGACAAAGTTTATTTTGTTGAATAAAGTGAAAATACATTTATAAAAAACTTAAGGGGTTTTTACTTTTTGAAACAAAAATTGAAAAAATTGTCTAGAAGACTAAGATTTTAACACATACCGTATTTACTCGATTAATTCCCCACCATCTATTAATTCCCCATGCAAGAGATGAGTTGAAAAAATAATTCCTCGGGGGAACTCAATATTTGGACTCAGCACACTTAATTATCTGCTGGAAAAGCTCAAAAATATCGCGAAGCACTTCTTCCAGATTTTTTTTCTAGATGTGAAAATAAGAAAGAAAAGGAGTATATAAGCTAAGTTTTAGCGGGGTTTCTATTAAAGAAGGTCGAGTCCCTCAAACACCCTCGAAAATTAAAATTTTGGATCTTATGTATTATTTCACACAAACTCATAAAAATTTTAGTAAACTAAAGCAACACTAGAAAAAAGTGCTATTTTGAAAATAAACTTACAGAGAACGGCAAGTGTTCTCCACCAAAATAAACTTGAAGGCAATTCGGGCATTATATAATAATTTTTTCAATGTGGCCACAAACAAAAATTTTCTTTTAAGAATTTTCTCTCACAAACGTTTGTATCGATTTAAAAAAAATAAAGAAAAGAAGAAATAACAATAAATAAAGTATCGATTATTTAGTCATTGTTGGCCAAGTTTTATTGACAAATAATGCGCGTGAGTTAGTAAGTCATGTGAAAAATTAATATTTGTGATAATATTTTTGAACACAACTTACAAAACGTTTTTTTAAAAGATACAAGAAGAAAACGTTGAAGAAATTGATAATCAACACGTTTTTAGAAATAAAATTTTGAAATTTCTGTTGTGATACTTATTATGTGAACTGAGTGTACAGGGTGACATGAAATGTTTAAGACAAAGTACAGGGTGGGGCAAAAGTTCGGCGAGTCTAAAAAATGACATTCTGAGGGGGGTTGTGCATCCATGGGAGTTATAGCTTTACGGAGAAAACCAATTCTCGCTTCAGCAGGATTGGTCACCCGCGCATGGAGCCAAAACGACAATCCAGCTCAGTAGGGAGCTGTTTCCTGGTTTTTGGGGGAAAGATTTAAGGCCTTTTAACTCACTGGATTTAAGTCAGTGGATTATTCTATTTGGGCATTTCTGGAGCAAAAAGTATGCCGAATCCGATACGCAACATCGGAGAAACTGAAAATTGTTTTGGAGCGGTCCTGGAACGAAATAACCGATGAATAATGCGCGACCATTGTGAGTAACATCCGTACGTGTTTGGATGCGTGTATTTCAGTCAGGGTCGGTCATTTTTAGAAATTACTTTAAAGAAATGTTTATTATATCCTATTGATTATATTTTATTAGTTTTTTATCTTAAATAAATTTTTTGTACAATAGATTTTATAAAAAACATTTGTCGCCGAACTTTTGCCCCACCCTGTATTTATGGCATACCTTATTCAAATTAAAGATAATGAGATCAAATAAAGCTTAAATGATAGAGAACTAAACATGGAATACATTGTCTATTGTACAGTGCTCTTTGGGACTTTCAAAAGAGATGGAATTTTGCGGACTGATTTTTTGCAAAAAAGTGACATTATAGAATCACGTTGACTAGCCATTATAGAGAATTGAATGAGCTAAAAAATAAGCCTAAAATTAATTAAAATTATTGACAATAAAAAAAGTTATAAGGAATTTAAAAGTGTCCAATTACTTATGCCGCACCCTTAGTATTTATTTGCTTAATTATAAATTTTCAAAGAATTTTATGACATGACAGTTAATTTTCGACACAAAATAGATTTGCTTATTTAAGCTCAATAAAATACAAATACAAGCTTATAGTACATATTAAATGTAAATTATAATCCTTTTCTAAAATTATTCAAGCATATTTTTAATTATTTTTTTGTTTAGCAAACAATTATAATTTAAACAAAAATGAAAGTTTAGGTTTAGTACACTTTCTACAGTAATTCGCTATTTACACTTAAAAAGTGTCTCGTAAGAGAATCAAAAATGTGAGAAAATGTAATAACCTTATTGTAAAAAATTTTTTAATTAAAATTTGTAGTCTTATTTGTAAATAAATATTTGTGTGGAAGTGAGAAAATAACTTTTAATTGTAAAGGACATAAATTGTGGCAGTCATGTACTGCTTTTGTGTCGTTTAAAAATTTTAATTGAAATTTTCTTTATTTTTTGTTCAATTATTTTACTGACAAAATAAAAATTGTTAAGAATTCAATTTTTATGAATAATTTAATCTTCGTCGCTCGTCATACATCCCTCTATCCCTCATCATAAATCTATAAAAATTTCCATATACATATTTGTTCAGTTTTTCTTACTTATACATACGATAATAAATATGCTTACCCCGAATGACCCGGTAAATAAATTATACAAGTTTAATTGTATAGATGTAAAATTCAGGTCTTCAATTATTACAACTCTACTGGAACTCTTTACATATTAACAGCAAAATATAGCAGTATATTCTTTTTAAGCATTGTTGCATTTTTCTTTAATTTTTTTATGGTATACACGACTTGGAAAAATAAGTATATCTTTAATAATTAATAAAATTAAGATTTGTGGGCTCTTTATTTCTCTATTTATCCGCTTTCCAAGCTCTCTTTTTTGCTTTGTAAAGCGAATAATTTCAAAATAAAATGTTCTAATCTTTCTAAAACATTTGAGAAAATAAATTTAATAAATCCCAAAAATGAAAATCCAGGACTTAAGGGCAACATAACATAAAGAAACTAAGATTTTAGAATATTGTGTAAGGCAGGAATTATCTCAGGAACTTGTAGTGTTATACACGCATATTTTCCTTTTATTAACTACACTCAATCAGTCCTCAATTTCACTCTATTTCATAGCATCCAATGATCAAAAGATTACAGTGATAAATGAACTTAGGAAAGAGAATGCCTGCTCATTTTGAAACAGAAGAGTATTTGGTAGGGTTAGCGGATTCTGGGAACTTTTCGGATATCCTGATCCAATATCCGAGAAATTTTCTGAGCAAATTTAATAATTCGCCAACTTAAACTTAACCCTAAAATATTTAAAAGATGTTTTCATCATCGCTGTAATATCTACATTGGCTTGAATTCTTTCCTTACGCTACCAGTCCACTTCGGAATGAGTTTGAAATTTTTTATCCTCCTCTTTGGAATCAATTTTATCAGTCTTCGTACCTGTTATTTCATTCAATTTTTTCCTGTAACTTGTATAACATTGGCTGTTCAAATTCAATTTTATATTGGAGTTGATAGATTGTTAAGTATTGCCTTTCCTATCTGGTAATTATTTTTAATATTGTTAGTTAAGTGAAATTGGGGTTCTAATTAACATTTATATAAGTTCATCTTATGAACTTATATAAATTTCTGGTTAACATTTATATAAGTTCATCTTATAAGGACGGGGTTTTCTTATATAGTTCGCCCAAAATTGAGCAATTATCCTATACATTCTCCAATTTATTAAATACTGCGAGATCATTCTAATTTCGCTTTTTCAATCATGAAAAAATTTATGCATCTTATAGTCATAATTTTTCTTAGCTCGGATGAGCTTGAGAAATTTCCGATATCTTAAACACCGATGCGCGGTAATCAAGCCTAAGTTGGGATTCAAGTCCAAGTTTTGCTTTAATTAAATTAACTGATTATTATAGGTACAATTTTGACGATCGATATAAATCTGTGGTTGTTATTGTTATCTTAATAATGATAAGGTCGGCCCGTACTTGTTGGAATTTTTTAAACATGGCAATTAGCTTCCCTGATAGGTATGTAACTAGTTATTCTACAAATTTTCTTGAAAACTTCCAAATTCCTTCATTAATAACCCTTGAACATTACCGCACATTAAAACGATATCTGCACTACATCGAATCCGGATAGGAAATTTAAAAAAAGAACATGCGGTCGGATAAGTGTATGAAAATTTCCATACATAATTATTAGAGGGCGGATTTTTATTGAAATAAATCACTGAAGCGGCCCTGCCCGCGAACTGACCACTGTCTCTCCAATTTTTCATCACATCTATCACTGGTCATTTATGCCTTTCTTCTACTCGAATTAAATGGTCAGACACTGGTTTGTCAAGGCTTGTTCATGACCGAGGTCGTTTTTGTGCCCTATTTCAATAAAAATCCGCTCTCTAATAATTATAATAAAACTCCGACTTCCATGATCCTTCAACCGTCTTTTCGATTTCTTAATTCCGATCACAGACATCACGAGTCTGTATCGATGTTCAACAAGCTCAATAAGCTTTCAAAATACCATACTGTACTATATTTTATATATGTACTTGAACCTTGGGAAAAGAACTTTAATTTGTTAATAAAAATACAGTAAATTCATTTAGTTCAGTTTATTTTTGAATCTTTAAATCTAAATCAAATTTATAAATAAATAATTCTAAAAATTTAAAAACAAATTTATAACAAGGCCTACTATGTGCGACACTTTAGCTATGGTACAACCTGAAATTAAACAAGAGACACTCACAACATCAAATATTTTTAATTTATTAACAGTTGCTTGTTACGTAACTATTTGGATATTAATGGCTTTTAGAAAGGAATACAGTTCTATTAATAGACGTTTAGTAAAATCACTGACAGCAATTATTTTGATTAATTTATTAGGATATGTGAATGTGAGTTTACAGATTTTTGCTGAAAGAATTTATATATTTATAAAACTTAAAGAGGGCGATTTGATAATTAATCCCTTTTTGCATTTTAGAAGTTTTTAAGTATTAACGTATTGTAGATACCACCGAACGTGGCCAGTACAGTTTACTCAACATCTTTAGGACCTCCCGAGCAAAGTTACCTTCAGTCCTATTTAATTAGGGAGGAAACCCATCAGCAGTGGAGTTCCTAAAATTTTTGCGCAGTATAGTTGGGCACTTTTCGGACAGCAAATTCTCCAGCAATTTTAGATCCCACTATTAAAATTTTAGAACCCAAAATTTAATTATAAGTAGGAGTCCAAATTTCAGAGAAATCTTGGCACCCACTGTCCGAATCTCCTGACACAAGCCTGTGCCCTCAAATTAATTTCTTAAAAACCTTAACTAGTCGTATCTTTACTCAAATCCCACAATATTTATAATAAAATTCCTTGTTTTAGTCTCAAGTATGGTTAATGTTATTACCCATTTTGTCATTTAATGTTGCAGATATTGATAGTTATTTGGCTGTTCCAGCCCTGCTTTTGTATATTGCTTCGGCCAGCAGTAATATGCCTGTTTTATTTGCTTTTAGGTTTTAATCATATGTTTTAAATAAATTCAAACTACTTCCTAAACACTTTACGTCCTAAACTCAATATATTATAAACCCAATATTATATTGAAGAGTTCAAATTTAGTTGACCACGGAGTAGTTGGGTAGGAGGTTTCTAATCACTTACCGTCATTTAGTAAACATCTCATTATGAGAACGACTTTTTCATCCTTAAGAGGCATCTAAAAATGAGGTCCGATTATATAATTTAATTTCAGTACGGACTACAACAAAGCATTCAAAAATACGTTTAAACATTTATTTTGTGGAAAGCCTCTTCAAGAAACAATAATTGTAACTTCAT